GGCCTGGAGGGACCCTTGGTGGCTGGAGGAGGAGCACACGGCCAGCTGAGAACGCCACGTCCTCGTCCACGTGGGAAGTGGCCTCGGAGGCCTTGGGGAGGGCCGGGCGGAGGGGAGGACGGGACACTCACACCCAGCAGCACAGACACAGATGGCTGCTCAGAACAGAACTGCCACGGGGCACACGGAGAAGGAAATGGCAAGTTACCTGGATGAGGTCTGGAAAATGGCCCGTCTTTAGCTTGTGTGACTCCAAAACATAAGAAAACCAAAATACTGGCCACAATACCTCTGCAAATAAAGAACAAACAGCCCCTCAGTGTGTGCAGGCTTCTCCCAGGAGGGAGGTGGGAGGCTGCAGGGACCCCCAGACACCCATTGTGGAAGAGCCCCCGATGCTGGGGCGGGAGGAAGGGCCTCGGGCAGAGCTGGGCAACTCCGGGGCGGGCAAGGCCCAGACACCTCCACCACCCTGGGCCCAACATTCGCCCTCACATTTGCCGCCCGCCCAGTGGCCGGGAGCCCTTGTGCTCGGGCTGCTGGTGGTTCCCAGTGTCACATCAGGAAGACACTCGCTCTACACAGAGGCCACCAAACGCCCCCCATGTGACCATCAGCGATCACAAAGCCCACGTAGGAGGAAGGCATCAGGAGCTACTGCCTCCCTGATTCAGCGCGCAGGACCCCCAGGAAGTGTCTCTAGAGAGTTCTTGTGTCTTTTTGGGGTCAACTCATCCAACACCAACAGGACTCCTGTGATTCATAAGATGGAAGCATGACAGCTGTAGCTGCAACCAAAGACGCAGGCTCACGGGAAGGAGGGCGCGAGGGGCTCCCTCCTCGGCAAAGCTCCTTGGGGCAGGCCTCAGCCAGAGTCTCAGTGGGTTTCACTGAGAAGCAGCTTAGGCTGGTGGACGTGCAGACACACAGCCCTGGCCACAGGCACACTGCTCACATCCGCCCCCGCATCCGACGTGTGGACCTGCTCTGTGCACCCGCTCTGTGGATGTGCTCTGTGGACGTGCTCTGCGGACCCGCTCTGTGGATCTGCTCCGTGGACCTGCTCCGTGGACCCGCTCCATGGATGTGCTCTGCGGACCCGCTCCATGGATGTGCTCTGTGGACCTGCTCCATGGACTTGCTCTGTGCACCCGCTCTGTGGACCTGCTCCATGGACTTGCTCTGTGCACCTGCTCTGTGGATGTGCTCTGTGGACCCGCTCTGTGGATGTGCTCTGTGGACCCGCTCCGTGGACCCGCTCTGTGGACCTGCTCTGTGGATGTGCTCCGTGGACCTACTCCATGGACTCGCTCCGTGGACCTGCTCCATGGACCCGCTCTGTGGATGTGCTCCGTGGACCTACTCCGTGGACTCGCTCTGTGGACCTGCTCTGTGCACCCGCTCTGTGGACCTGCTCCATGGATGTGCTCTGTGGACCTGCTCCGTGGACCCCGCTCTGTGGACGTGCTCCGTGCACCCGCTCTGTGGGCATGCTCTGTGCTCCCGCTCTGTGGATGTGCTCTGTGGACCCACTCTGTGGACGTGCTCCGTGCACCCGCTCTGTGGACGTGCTCTGTGCTCCCGCTCTGTGGATGTGCTCTGTGGACCCGCTCTGTGGATGTGCTCTGTGGATGTGCTCTGTGGACCCGCTCTGTGGACGTGCTTCGTGGACCCGCTCTGTGGACGTGCTCCGTGCTCCCGCTCTGTGGACGTGCTCTGTGCTCCCGCTCTGTGGACGTGCTCCGTGCACCCGCTCTGTGGACGTGCTCTGTGCTCCCGCTCTGTGGACGTGCTGTGGACCCGCTCTGTGGATGTGCTCTGTGGACCCGCTCTGTGGATGTGCTCTGTGCTCCCGCTCTGTGGATGTGCTCTGTGGACCCGCTCTGT